TACACTTAAGTGATTAGTATCCTTAATTGGTGAGCCACTAATACGGTAAAGAACCAGATGTACGTGGTCTGTATTTTCACTTTACCATAACAAAGGCTCAAGGAAAAAATCTGAACAAAAGAAATACTCTATTTACCTATGAATTTCCATTTTTGTCACAAACTCTTTTATTATTAAGTATGAAGAAAATACCAATTTTAAATTTAAATCCTCTCTAAAATTAGTACATTTAAAAAAAACTGCTCTCAATTCCATCTATTTACCCAGCAAAAATTTACCAAATAACAGAGCAGAATTGTAGTATTTGCAGAAAATAGCCATGAAAACAAATGATGGAGGGTTCTGTGAAACCAAAACAAACTCCTATGTTATCTGAAGCAATCAACCTGAACCATTTATACTGGGGCTTTTCCACTCTGAAAAAAATGATTAATGGAAAGATACTGACAAGAATAACACTGTTTTTGGACTGAAATCTCTCAGATGAAATATTTTCTTCAAAACACGGATAAAAGTTTTTAGTCACAATGTGTGTTCATCAGTTTATAAATCTGAAGACCTGGGCACACGCTAAATTTCAAACTTATCATTTGAGGCTGCCATACGGACAGGCCATCAGGTATTGCACCACTTCTCCCATCCAAGAAACTTTCAGCAGCTACTAGAATTTTTGACCAGCATGGTACCTCATAAAGAAAAGAAATGAAAGGTTTTTAATAGTCATACTGCCAGGAAATATTGCAGACGGAGGAAGAGAGACAATCACTTCCTGGATGGAAAAGCAGGGCTGTGCTAGTGCTGCAAACAGCCGGACAAAGCTCAGAACACCAGGACAATACACACATTTATTACATTATTTTGCTACTATTCTTGGTGCTTTTCAAGATCCACCTACTTCAGTATAACTGTGCAATTTAAGGATTTTTGCCATCCATTCTACTCATTCTGAAACCTTCTGACAGCCTTTCTTCTAAGAAAGACGTTTGAAAAACTCTATTAACAATATGTGTTCGTAGGTAATCCTGACAATCACGTATTTTGAAGCAGCAGCCACTAAATATTGAGAAAATACTTTCTAAAACTCCTCTGTTATTTTTTTTTCCATACAGGAAACATAAGGCTTGTCCAGTGAAAAGGCAGAGACATAAGACAAAAACCTGTATGAAACTACGCTTGTTTAGTTCTGCTTTTCATGTGATGATTTATTGAAATACAACAGCTACAAGTTTTTCCATATTTTTTATGGTCTATTCCCATTTTCCCCAAAATTTTACAAATTCTGGAATGACTTCCTTTCCAAACGAGTTTTCTGCTGCTAGTTTTTGCTGTAGCTTAAACTTGTTACTTGGAGATCTAAAAGTTAGCTTATTGTTCCTCGATATCTCAACTGTTCAGACAAATTATACAAATTATTCATTACACAGCACCATGTACCCTTTATTTTCTTCCTTATCTGCACTGCAATTAGCTAGTATATAATGAAGTACCATAAGAGTGGATCAGAGTAAACAATAAGAACAAAGGAACTGAGAACACAATCCAGCTATCATGAAGATGTACTTACACAAAGTATCAAGAGCAGCAGATAGAACTGTAATTTCTGAATTCAACATTTTGTAGTTTTCCAAGAAACACCAGTAAACCTTCAAAAATCATGTACCCAGAAAAGGATGTTGGAGGATTTCCACACACATATCACTCCTCGTGTGTTTAATAGAGAGAACAGAAAGCAAAATGAGACTCTAAAATGCACTGCATTTCTGTCCTGGGAGCTAATAATATGGGGTGGTTCCTGATTTATTGCAAGTCTCCTTGAAAACTTCTGCTTTTTTTCCCTAATAAGAATTTTCAAAACTTGGAAACAACAATTTGGCACAAAAAAATGGTATGAGTTATTCCAATAAATCAATGTGTTAAGTTTACTAGAAAAGAACTTATTACTGAATGTAAATCTGACAACTGTTACAAATGAGATTTCTGCCTCTCTAATGCAGCTATATGGACAGATTATACTTTATCTCTCCATCTTACAAGCAGCCAGTGTACAGTGTTGCACAGAACATAAAATTCCACATTATAGTCAAGGCAGACCATAGTGTGTGGCTGTGAATTCACCTCGTGTGCTGTAACTATGTAATTCCACCACAAGATGACACAGAAGCAAGCTCCTCTGTCCAAGTTGTCCTTGTTTGCATCACATGATGACCTAAGCATATTTCAAACTGACAAGACTTAATTTAATTTTAAAAGCACAAATAGCACAAAGCAATCAAACTGTGAATTTATAATGCACAGTTCATACACTTTACTGTGTGCACTACTGCGAACCAGACTTTGATTAGGTTAAATCTGCACCAAATTAATACAAGTAACTACCAGAAAAAACTCTAAATAAAATTCACTATAGAGGGGAAGAGAAAAGATCACAAATTCTGGAAAAAAGAATAAGAGTCTGCTTTACTGGCAGTGTAGCACCATCTGTCTGACATACTTTTGCTAACTACCATGTTTTTGTGAGCAGTAAACACAATATTATTGTAGTGGTAGAAGGAGGAGAAGGAGGTTGAAGAATCTCATTCAGATGCAGAACCTGAAAATCACTATTCAAAACACTAACTCTTGTTGGCTCTCCACTGCCATCTGCAACATTAGGGGAAGAGGGAACAATACAGAGAGTTGATATAATTAACAGTCCATGCAGGTTTTAATTGGAAATTATCAACAAGTGAGAAAGTTTTTTATGAATGAGAGACAGAGAATTCAGTGAAACATTCTATCACTGTGAAACTGAAGTGTTACTAAAGCCAAGTTAAACACATACACCCCTATTTTCTTTTGAGTCATACAGGTCACAGACTGCTAAAAGAACAAAAAACCCTCAGTACTTTATTGGCAAGATGCATTTGATAACGTGCAACTTCCTACCAACACTAACAAATATTTGGGGCAAAGAATCTTACAGCCTTCAAGACTTCTATCTAAATTACATTCAGACTGTCTGAGAAGCTGTCATCACAGATTTGTACATCCAAACCAAAAGATTAAACACGAAGCTCACCATTAACACACAGGACAATTTCCAATGGTTACGGAGCTTTTTTTTGCTTTTTTTTTTTAAAAAATAACCCTCGGGTCTGACAAATCCCCCAAGAAACTCAAAATAGTACAATTCACAGAGGAAAGCATTCACACAACGTGAATTAATAGATTCCCAACGGAGTCATGTATTTCTGAAAATGTTTTTGAAGTCTTTTGTGCACAAACCACAGTAAGAAGTTCAGCTCATGCACAAAAACTTATTTGCTCTATGATCCAAATAGTTATTCCATGTACTTTATTTCTTTTGAACTTAGTCATAACTGACCTCTCCAATGTAGGACTGAGAAGCCTTCAAAAGCATAGGTGGTCAGGATGTTCATCACCAGCACAAGAACAAAGACCAATACAGGAATTCTGAACTGGGGCTGAAATATTGTATTTGGACATCAAAAAAGGAAAGTTGTTTTGGAAAAGGCTGAGGATATCAACTGTTCCTACCTGGACAGGTGACTGTTATAGCAAAATGAGCAGAGTATTCAAATTTACACTGAAAATAAAAAGGATATTTGAACTTCTAAAGCAGAGAGCAAGAAACACGTTGGGATCTATGTAATTTTAGATTTTTAAATACGAATAAGGTATCTTTTAAATAGATTAGACTATGTTCATCAGAATTAATCACACTCAATGAACAATTCTGAGGTAACAGTCTGCATTACACAACAGGGACAGCTACATGATCAGAGTGTATCCCTCTCGGGTAAAACTCTCCAACTCTGAACCCTTTTGGTAGATAGGTTACACTCCATCCTGTTTCATAAATGCATGAACTGAAAGATATCACAATAAAACGCAATTACAAACTTGAGATAGTTCTTTTTAACTTAAATACCTATTACCAAAATAGCAATATGGAAAGAAAAAAAAATATTACAGCAGCAGGGAGCAAGTAGTGGCCTAGTAGTGTTTGTGGCTGGTTTTTTTCCCCCTTACCTCACACGGATGAGGCCTAAAACATAAAGCAAGGAACTATTTTTTCCTCTAGATCTCTGGAGTAGTGTATCTGAAACACTGCACTGAGTACAACACACCAAAAATATATTTAAAATTCATATATTGATAAAGTTCAGAGATAAGAAAAAGATAAGAAGATGGAAAAACAGAGTGACAAAGATGAATTAAGTTAGTAAATCTTGACTAGAATGGTATGATATGTGAAAGCTGCCTATGTACCTTTGTAATGAGAATAAACACTAAATATTTAGAGAAGTATTAGATTTTTTTAGAGCTATAAAAATTAATGAGGAGGGAAAAGTTGTTAGACAAGAGTCTTTCAATAGGCATCTCTCTCTATCTGGAATCACCTCCATGGTAAAATGACAGGCTCATCAAGATTTAGATATTTAAAACCACATTAGGCAACTAATACATAAAGGTACTGCAGGTCAAACCTGCACTTTCATCAAAGTGGATTAGATTATTTAATAGATTTTCCATCTTCTAACTCCAAAATAAGATATTATTCTAGCAAGAGTTGTTAGAAAACAAGGACATAAAACAAACTCCATGGTATTTCTGGTGAATAAAAGTAAAATGATAAGCAATTAGAATGACGATGAACTCATTAACTCAGAACAGCCACATAAATAAAAGTAAAGCAAGTCTCAAAAAACCTGACTAAAATAGTTGATGAGACTTTTCCAGAGGATGGATGAATCAGCCTGGTTTAAGTCAAAATGAAATGTGGAAATAGTTGCAAACTGTCCATGGACCAGAGTCTCATTCTAAGTAACATCATGAAACTGTACAAAAAATTACCTTTGAGAGAAATTAATTCTACATTCATAAACAGCACACCAAGATCTTGAAAGCTAGACAGAAAGCTGCAGAGCTTGATGGCAAAGAAAGGGCTTTACATGATTTTCAAAAGCAGGTTGATGAGTAATCTGTTCTTTTCTTACCATCGTACTTTATTGCACGTCTGTGTCGCGCCAAGAGGAGAACCTGCCACCATAGGGACTTGGATGGGGCTATGCTGTTTGTTCATGACAAGATCCAACTTCTCTTCCAATGATTTACAGGTAGCCTCTAGTGCCAGCAACTTTGCCTCAATGCTATCCAACCGCAGGCATATTGTCTGATTAATGGAATATAGGAATGACTAGAAAGGGGAGAATGCAAAAAGAAACCGATTTTAAAGACTTAGGCATTTATCTTCAGCAACACACACAAGGAAGCTCCAGATAAATGTGACTGGAAAACAATTCTAAAGGAACTAGCTGTGTGCCTAGTGACAAAATTCAGCCACGTACAAAACTGATGACATCCAGGAGCATTTTAGCATTCTCAAATTCTTCCAGATCTTTATTTAGAAGCCAAAAGCATTTGAGCCAAACACATTTTCACCTAAGCACTTTGTTAGTATGATTTCATACACCACAAAATCATTTAAAATGACATGCCAAAGACTTTCATTTGATACATGTAAAAACAAAAGGATTATAAATCTATGAATCCATCCTCCTGGATAAAGCTAAAGAAGATTTTTTTCCTGCCCAAACAGATAAATTCCAATTAGAGTGGAAATTATATCAACACAAATAACCTCAGAGACAATTAATGCCGCTCACTGAAGTTTTCTCCTGAACAGCAAATCAAGAAAAGCGAATAAATAAAATCTGTTTTCCTAAGAAATTTTATTCAAAAGAAAGCATATTCTATTTGGTTTCTCTTGGGAAAAATAGGTCATTAAGGGGTAAGGTTACACACATTCTCCTTTGCAAACAGCAGCTATGCCATCTTGTGGCCTTCCATGACAATCTACACACTGAACCATGCTGGTTTACAGTGCTGCTCCCCCAGTGCTCTTTCAATACAGAGCTTCAGTTTCTATGACCATTGGAAAAATACAGAATTACACACTATTTAATGTGTGTGGCAGTAAAATACTACTCATATACTTATGTCCCAAGATTAAAACACTAAGGAGAACAGCAGGGGAAGTTCTGCAAGTACAGAAAAGCTACTGACTCTGAATCAAAAATGGCTCACCTATTAGGAGAATGTTGTTAGCTTAAAATAATAATTTAAAACAAGCCGAAAGTATCTACAAATTGTAATAAAAAGCATCCTCAAGTTTATATTTTAGGTCTACTTTATTCACTTAATCAAAAAAAATGTACCAATAGTGATGTTTGAGTCACTGGAATTAATCCTGACGACATTTTATACTGCATATAAAATTCTTGCTACTGATTTGACACTGGAAGATTAGCCAATCATGTAGATTTTAAAATTCATGCACAAAAATGACTAAACATTTACAAGGTGATTATGAATAATTCCAGTATTATGTATAAATAGATTATTTTACATTCTATTCTTTCAATATATTTCCCCAAGAAAGTTAACTTAATGTGGTATTATCAATAGAAACAGAAAAAGGTATTATCAAAACCTTAATAGAGGGATCCTGGCAGTTAATTTCTATACGTTGACGTTTCAGAGTAGGCACTACCTCATCATCTGTCACTTCATGATTCTCCAACACAACTGCAAAGAAAAGTAACTATTGTCATGGTTAATAATACAAGAGGACAAGGCTCAAATTAAAAATACATTAAATGGATAACACAAAGAAATATAAAAGGCATTTAATTAACATATTGTATGTATTCTTGGGGTTTCACTTAAATATATGACAACTGTTTGCTGCACATCAAAAAACATTTATCCAAATCTTAAGATTTCACTTCAAATGCACTGATAACACTCAAGCATTACCTTGGATTTTTCATTAGGAACTTACCACAAGGTAGCAGAGTTGTCACATTAGTTGTTCCACTTTGACAGATGCTACAGGCTTCTGAACCCTCATGTTTAATCAAAACCATGAAAAGTACTAATGAAGTTCTGTACAAAGACACAATTACACTCACTACTCGCTGTAGTAGTGGGTTATTTTTTCCCAGTATAGATGAAGAGAATCCTGCAAGCTTTCCAAATTAAATATTTACATATGCAGATCTCTATGTTCTAATCACCTTTCATCTGAAGGTAAACATTTTGAAGAAAACAACAACAGAAGATAATTGAATTTAGAACTGGAGGGCTTGGCTGGTAAAATAAAGAGGCAGAGCCTTGAACAGCCTCATGGTCAGAGCATCACCTGAGATCAGAGCAGGTTCAAGTTCCTTTAACAAACTGAGCAAAGGAAGACTTGTTTAAGGTTGACCCTACCACAGGTGACAATCCTAAACACCAAGTTACCAGCTAGGCTAGGACAGGCAGGTCACAGCTTCTCCTCCAACTGGGAACATTTCTGAAGTAACTTTTTTCTTCTGCATCAGAAAAAAAAGTTTATTGATAAGTGTTTCTATTTTCCATAACTGTTCTTTCAGTCACTTGCATGTAATGCCAGCATAGGATGAATGTCTACAGGTGATCTCAACACATTTTCACTTAGTAGGTCAAGTTCTCAGCAAGAGCTATCACAGTATTTGATTTCAGGATTGTTTTCCAATTTTACTGTTATTTTGTTATACATACAAACAATTTTAATAATGTATAAGAAAAACAATTTTACAAGTAAGACAACAATTCATAATAGACAGGTGATAGTTCCCATTTGAGTGAGAGTAAAACATGTATTTCTTCTGGAGAAAAATAAAAGACTGCAGGAGGCCATATTTCATTCAAAGTGTTTGGCACTAGTCTAACTCTGGAAAAAAAAAGCCCCAGGTAATCTTAAAGGTAATAAAGCCTTAAAAGAAAAGTAAAAAATAAAAAATAACCTGATCTAAAGAGTAATACACAGATATACAAGCTAAGCTATTGAAAGTGTGTTATGTAGTCTTAACAAGCACCTCAAAAAAAATCTGTAGCACTGCTTTATGTTTTTAAGAAAAGCTCAACAGTGATTTGCACCTTGTTAATGGGTAACACTAGAAATGACCTTTTTGATGCCATCACTATCATCTCTACTGTACCTGGGTTATCTGGAGTCAAGTCTTCAACAGCAATCTGAACCACATCTGCCAAATCCTGTTCTGACATCATTCAGAACCAGGCCGCAATATCCACTCAAACACCACTGCAGGTCCCCAAATAAGTAATTTTACAAGTCATGCAATCCTGAAAAACAGCAGCAAGAGGAGTGTTAATACAGATATAACTTGATATATCCATACAGCCTTTATTTTTAAATTCTTCCTCTATAGAAGGAGATGCAGTTCCTAACAGAAGTGACTAACCTACAACGTGATCATCCAGCGGTATCAAATGCTACTTTCATTTAGCTTCAGAGATTTGGCAGCTCGGCAGTAAAAAATACAGAATAAAATGTGTTCTTTTAAATTGATTTTTCTGTTTCACAAGTTTTAAGAGCATACAAGACCATTCCGAATTTGCAGGGGTTTAATTTACAAATTATTACTTCGCTCTTGGGAGTGATCAGACTTTAGTATTTAGTCTTGATGTTGCAAAAGTATGAGGCGCCCGAGCCATGTGAGATTTGAAATGACGGCATTCTGTACAGATCCAGATGCACACAAGATCCTCACATGTGTGAATCTTAACAGGCCTCTCAAATCTTCACAAACATTCACTGGGAACAGGGAGCTTCCTCGCCTCTAATTACAACTAGACTTGAAGGAAAAACTTGACTTTTTTTTCTTGCCTACTGAACTTATTTGGTTTTTCTACAGCTCAATTCTGATGAAACTATTTTCAAAAAATGGTCCTAAATTTAAAGCCAAAATATTTCTAAGCCCTGCTCCCTTGGAATTCTTTGTCAAGGTTATTTATTAGTGTTTTAAGAGAAAGCTTCAGCCTGTAAAATTGAATTAAAATCACTGGAACCATTCATAACCGTGCTTTCCCACAGTTTACAAAGGGATGGACAATGAATACCAAGAGATCAACCTTTTTTTTTTCCTTTTTAACCTGAAGCAAAAAACACTAGAGAGATAATTTGAGGTTTACCAATGGAAACGGTAATTCATCCCTTAACTCTGACACTGAATCAAATCCAACTATGCATTAAGATTTTCCTCTTCCACTCAAGCACAAGAAAGCCATTAAGCCAGACAGGTGGAGAATAAATTTTTGAAGAGAGCAACGCAACCTACAGAAGAATTTTGCGACTGGGCTGAGCGACCGCCGCGCTCTGCAAAAGCCCAACTCAAAAAGGAGGACTCCCCACATCTCAGAATTATTCACTCAAAATATCAGCACTGCCAATACTGAGTCATTTGAAATTCTGATCGTGGTGAAAAACTGTTGGGACAGCACAGACTGTGGCAGCATGCCCAAAAAACAAACCACCTGGCAATACATTAGTGCATATGGATGCCATTTTGGCAACTTCTATTTGCCATTTCTGAGAAATCCTGGTAAGCAGCCAGGCTTAACAGAATAAACCAGCTGTGCTGCAGTTACTGTTCCATAATGTTACATACTGCTAGGAATATTAAGAACCCTGCCCTCAACTTGAAGGAAGACATCCGCCACTCTGAACACTAAAAAAAAGACAAACTAGAACAAAACACAACTTTTAAAACTTTGTCTATTTACACAATTCCAGAATTTCACTGATACCTCACATTTTCACCAGTTATACCTACAGACATCAATATTTTATAAACCATTCCAAAGGATTTGCAATGCTTCTGTTTAAATCCACTTTAATACTTCATGTGATGCATATATTCAGCCTTCCAAAATTCATTATTAAAAAAATAATCACTGAAATTAAACAAACAAAAAAATAATTTCGCACTTCTCAATCTGTTCTCCACCTCTCAGGGGTCACAGTCTGAAAGTATTCAGCCTCATATCAGAAAAGAAGTACCAAAATATTCTATCACAGAGCCTTGAAATAAGGGCATAACAATCAAACTATGATTGGCAAAACAGCTACTACACATACACAGCAATGTGTCTTCATAACATTAGTATTTATTTCCATTTAAACACATTTTATTACAATTTCAGTAAGTCAGACACAGCTCACAGGCAATCAGCCAACACCACGACGGAACACATTTTTGCCTCCTCAACAGGCAGAATAAAATATATTTCTGCTGTCACCAGACACAGTGAGCTCCTGTATCAAAACAGACAAAAACAAATACATTTGTTATTTGGAGAAAACAAATACATTTGTTATTAATGCTGTGTGCACTAGGAAAGCAACGCCCAAGTAAGCTACACGGTACTGCAACCACAACAGCTATAAATAAATAAACTTAAATAAAACACTCCTCTTCCAAATTCAAAATATCCATTTAGAATAGAAAATTTTAGCAACGGTCTAACCTGGCTTTCAGAACAAAGGGTAAAAAGCCTGACAAAATTTAACAGGATTAGAGATAGATTAGTTTAAAAAGCCTCAGTCAACAAATTCAGAATAACTCTGCCAACATAGTTTCCACATATCTTACTCAGTTAAGTTTTCACCAGCATTTCCTCACATAAAACACTTCTTTTCTTAAAATTTGCTCTATTCCCCTTTCCCCCTCTTTCTTTCTTTCTTCTGGCTGAAACCCTAGTCCCCATTAATTCTAAATTAAGTATATGTACATTGGCATTAAGAAGCTAATGCTGAAATATTACCTGGCACAAATATTAAGCTATTAAAATATATATATATATATATATAAACAGAAAGCATGAAGCCAAGGATAAACTACAACAGGCACAAGAAACGTCCCCACTTTTTCTCCCCCAACCAGCATGTGGAAGTTGGATCTACAGAGCAATATTTTCAAGTCGATTTGCCATTTTCTGGGGAAGACAATTTATACCAGCCAATGGAAAATATCTCATTAACACACACACTACAGGAGGCCTTGGCCAGCCAAACTCCAACTGACTCCAGCTGAGGTATTTAGGTGGATCTACACTGCACTCATCACTTCTCCTGGAGAGCTTTTTTGGGGGGTTGGAAGAGACTCCTTCAACTCCTACCCAACATAAAACCTAAAAACCAGGTTGCAGTGTGTATCAGAGGGATTTCCTCCCACCTCCACTCCCACTCCAGCCCTGGCTGCCTTCAAATCTCACTTACCACCAATGTTTCCAACCCTTCAGACCTCTTGTAGCCAGTTTCCAGATCTGTCCACCCATTCCCCACCCCAGGTCAGACACTACTTTGGTAATCCTCACTTAATAAACCCACCAGAAACCCATTCCTGTTGTTTAAAGCAGCACAAACTTAAAAAAATTGTCTCATATTTGAATCAGAGTGAATAATGGAAATAATAACACGTAGCAAATATACGGCCCTAGTTCCTTCTTACCTCCCAAAGGAAAAATATTGTTTCAAAATTTGAGAAAACAGTCCTAAGATTCCAAGACAGAACAAGCATCAGTATGGAGTAACAAAACTAAATCCTCTCATAATAAATAGCTTATTTCATCACCTATCAAAGCTTGAAAAATATTAATTTCCCTATTTATGTATTATGAGTTGAAAGTAAAGACAAACCTCCCTGTTCTTGGCTTTTCATATTCAGAAACAAAGCCAAAAAGAGGAGCAAAAAGCCTGGAGCATTCCTACAACCACCTGCTAGGAGGTGGCTCTAGCACTGGAGCACTCAGAAAAGCTAATTAGGACAATTAAAGGCATAAATTTAAAGCGAATTAGATCAAGTGCTTATAGATCTTTGCCAATACTCTTACCCAGAACTGATACACTTACGACAGAATTAAGGTAGCCTTTGTTTAATTAACTACATTAATATTTGTAAGCAACTAATTTAAATTCACCTAGATTCCAGATTAGTTTTTCCACACACAAGTTTAATGCAATTTAATTAATCTTTTTATTAAAACATTAACTCATAATAATTCTTCTGAGTAGTCCCTTGTAAACAAACCTATTTATTGAAATATCCGATGGCTTTACAAAGTCACAGGGCATCATTCCAAAGTGTATAATCAAAAACATCCAATGCCTTGTTAACATATAAAAACATGTACAAAACATAAATCTTCTCTCTCATACTAATTAGTGAGGGTAAACACTGTCTTAAAAAAAACAGGGTAAAAAGCAATTTCCAAAGCTCTAGTCTACTTAGAGTGTTTAATTGAACTTCTACTTAAGCAGCTAACCACTCACTCCTCTGGCTGGTATTTCTCAGTGCTACAGATAAATGAGAAAAAACTTCTCTCATACTTCAATTTGCACGATGACAACAGTTTACTGCTGATTGTATGAAAAAAGCTGGAGGATCCCATTTCCCTTTGCCCAACCCAAAAGCCCCAAATGTTTTGGTTTAGGTTTTTTTTTTTTCTTCTTCATCTCATTTTTACTTCAATCAATTAAGGCAAATTTTCAAATATGTCATTTCTGTTACAAATATATATTCTTCTTTTTTCCAAGCACTATTTATTAGCCAATCAGCCCATTTTTCTCAGCCTAATATCTACCATGAATGGGACAAAGCTCCTTATCTTTATCAAGTCCTATGATTTGCTGACATTTATAAAAGTTTTCCAAACCAGCCACACTACAAAGGCAAAACTAATGATAAGAACATACTTGATATGTGCATGTAAGTGTATTAATCGTCTGTGAGGACAATGTTGTGCAGAAGTAAAATGACCTTATGCTGTAAAGGGATTAGAGTCCAAAGGTCATCTTCCCTCTGAAAGTGAAGATCCACAGAGGACATAATACTCATTAACTCTACTGCTTTAGTTAAGTCAGTTCAACTTCCCCGAGTTCTTGTCCCTTCAGGGAAACAGCCCAGAAGGACCACGGAGGTTTAAGTCTCATGCAAAGAATAATCCACACCAAGGATGTCTTTGTGCAGCTCAGTTTAAGCCACTCTGGAAGCAAATTATGCAAAACCAGCAAAATGGCATTCCAAGTACAAACCAACATTTTTCACTTGATAGTCTTAACAAAGAATAACCACCATGCTCAGGTTATAACCTCGGCTAACCTGGTACCAGATCTCCTGCACTGACAAGGCTCTCGTGTCTTCACGGAACCAATCTCTACGAGTAGCCCCACAGAAAGAACTCAAAGTGTTTGTATAATTTGAGACATGAAGTTATTCACAGAGTCACAGAATGTTGGGGATTG